ACCTGCGATATGCAGAAGATACAACCTGCTTGCTGAAAGTGGAGAGGACTTAAAACATTTACTGATGAATATCAAAGAGCACAGTCTTTGGTATGGATTACATCTCAATGTAAAGAAAACAAAAATCCTCACTACTGGACCAATAAACAACATTCTTATCAATGGAGAAAAGATTGAAGTTGTCAAGGACTTCTTTCTTCTTGGATCAACTATCAACACTCATGGAAGCAGCAGTCAAGAAATCTAATGACGTATTGCATTAGGCAAATCTGCTACACATGACCTTTTTAAAACGTTGAAGAGCAAAGATGTCAGCTTGAGGACTAAGGTGCACCTGACTCAAGCCATGGTATTTTCAACAACCTCATACGCATGCAAAAGCTGGACAGTGAATAAGGAAGACCGTAGAAGAATTGATGCTTTTGATTTATGGTGTTGGAGGAGAATATTGAAAGTGCCATGGGCTGCCAAAAGAACCAACAGATCTGTGTTAGAAGAAGTGCAGCCAGAGTTCTCCTTGGAGGCCAAGATGGCCAAATTTTATCTTTCATACTTCAGGCATATTGTCAGGAGGGGCCAGCCACTAGAGAAGGATATCATGTTTGGTAAGGTGGGGGGTCAGAGAACAAGAGGAAGATCCCCAATGAGATGGATTGGCCAAGTGGCAGCATCGATGGGCTCAAGTGTGGCAACAGTTGTGAGGTTGGCCCAGGATCGGGCAGTGTTTCATTCTGCTGTGCATAAGGTCTCTATGAGTCAGTACTGACTTGATGGCACCTAACAACAACAGGTGTTTAGTGTTTCTTCTCTGATGTTATGCACAAGTAACTAATTCTTTGGGCCTCTCTTTTCTTATTTGTCAGTTGAAGAGTTGGACAGAGTGTAAAATTTGTTCAAATTCTTAATGTTAGATGATTTGAAACATTTATTATGTAAGCAGGAGCCCTGCTGGTATAACAGTTAAGCTCTTAGCTGCTAATGACAGGCTGGTGATTGGAATCCACCCAGCAACCCCAGGGAGAAAAGATCCCAGGGATTACAGACTCTGAAACCCTATGTGCAGGTCAACTCTGTCATAAAGGGTCTCTGCAAGTCAAAATTGACTCCATGACACACATCAACAACAGAAAATCTCCACACAGATGCTTGATCATGTCCCTGCCCTGGAGCTGTTCTAACTCGAGTGGTCTCCAGCTGACTTGGGGTAGTGAAGCTGGGACTCAGGAGACCAGGGATGCAGAACTGGAGACTAGGATTTTAAAGGCTCATGCTCACAGGTTTTAAGAGGGGAGCGACCTCCTTTCCTGGATGACCAGCAGAGCTTTACAGTCTTTTCTGGGAGGACTCTGAGTAGCAAAAAAACTAGGCTTGTGGGTGCTTTGTCTTTCCTAACATTTGTCTTCAGATCCATGACCTCATCTGATTCTCACAAGTACCCAGTAGGCCGTGTGATTACTTTACCAACAACCATTCCATCACTTAATAGGACCAGCACTGGACTGTGAGCCACAAAGTGGACAGTTCAAATCTATCAGCTGCTTCTTGGAAACCCTATACAGGTGGCTATCAGTCAGAACTGACTCCACCACGGCACTTAACAACTTAACAACACCCCCTAATTAGTTAGACTCTATGGTCTGGGTGGACTGACCTCACTCCCATTGTGAAGGGGATGCCCTGACTAAAGGAAGACAATCTACATAATCCCATCCTCCTTGCCACACAGACTGAAGGACAGATTATAATGACTAAAACAGGCTCTGCCCAGAAATTCCACTCCTCAACATACAAGGGACTTCAAAAGTTCATGGAAAATTTCCATTGTCTTTCAATTCCATTTCCAGAAACTTTTTGAAGTCTCTCTACCCCTTGCCCCTTCTCACTATGTATATCCACAAGACTTGAAAGCAGAGACTCAAAAAGAGATTTGTACACCAGTGTTTCCTGCAGTACTATTCACATAGCCAAAAGGTGGAAATTATCTACATGCCCATCAACAGATGAATGGGTAAACCAAATGCGGTACATACGTACAATGAAATACTTCTCAGAGGAATGAGGAATCCTGGTATGGTACTGCGGGTTAATGCGCTGGACTACACGGTCAGGGGTTCAAGCTCACCAGCTGCTCCTTGGAAACCCTATACAGGGTTGCTATGAGTCGGAACTGACTCAAAGGCACTTAATAACAGGAGGAATGAAGTCTTGATTCACATTAAAGTATGGCTGGAGCTTGAAGACATTATGCTGAGTGAAATAAGCTAATCACAAAAGGACAACTACTGTATGACCTCACACAGGAGAACAGAAGGCAAATGTAGAGAGTAAAGTTTATTAGCAGCCACCCGTTGTATGAAGGAGGGGAAAAGGGGCAGAGGGAATTAACAGTGATGGAAAAATCACACTAAGGATCAAACTAATTATTGTAACTTCTGTCAATAAGTTGTATACCTTAAAAATGTGAATCAACAAAAGTTATAGACATATTTACAATGACAAAAAAATGAGTTGCTGCTCTTTAGTAAGGCTGCTTATGTACAACCAAACACCTCCTGGGCTTTGATTCCTTGGTTTTGAGGGTTAGGGTCATGGTTTCCTAAACATGGGACATCCCAGTTAACTGGCCTAGTAATGTGTTTAGTGCTTCTGTTTTACCTCTAAGTTCATTGCATAGTACTGTTGTTGTAAAGTGCCGCTCAGTTGATTCGGACTCATAGCGACCCTGTGTAGGGTTTCTGAAAGGGAGTGGCTAGTGAGTTTGAACTACCTACCTTGAAGGTTCAAACCAACCTTGAGGTTGAGTGCTTATCCTAGGTGCTACACCAGGACTCTGGAGTGTACTAAAAGGTTGTAAAAGCTTTCATGCAAGGCACTAAAAGGTATTAAAAGTGGCTGTGCAAGGCACAGCAATTGATCTCCATTCACCTGGAGCAACAGAGAGGGAAGAAGAGTAAGGAATATGAGGATGTGGAATGTGTGACTAATTGCCTCCATGAATAACTGCCTCCTTTGCCATGAAACCAGGGTGATCTGCTACCATTACTGAACATTTTGACCAAAAATTCCATAGAAGCGTCCTGATCAAAAGGGGAAAAGTGCTGAATGGGCTTTCAGATTTTCATAGACTGTAGACTCTCTGGAGTCACTGAGCTGAAGCTATTACCCTGAAGTAATCTTCAGAACTTGAACCCAAAACATTCCCTGAAGTTATCTTAAAATTGAGCAACAGTTTAGGTTAACTAGTTTAAAAAAGTCTGCCTTGAGCATTATGCTCTTTTAAGAACTGTCTATATGAGATCAAATTGATGCCAGCAGCTCAAAAGGTTAGCTAGAAACCTTACAGGACTGTGGGTTTCTGTTACTGGGGGAGAGATAATTCAGGAAAAAGAGGGTGAGAATGGTTGCCCAACCCAACTCAAAGAATGTAACCATCACTAAATTATGCGTGCCGAAACAGTTCAAGTGATATGTTTTGCTGCTGTATATTCTTAATTACAACAACAAAAAAACTTATCACACATTAGGCTGGGTGACAATCAGCTGCTAACCTAGAAGCTGGTAGTTTAGACCCACCCAGGGCTCCACAGGAGACAGACCTAGGAATCTGCTCCCGAAAAGACAGAGAAAATCCTGCAGGAAGGTCTGCTTTGTCACGTGGGTTCTTTATCAGGAGCAGATTACCCAAAAAGCAAAGTCAAGATGGGTTTACTTGTGTTTATTTACTAATCTGTGGTGAATAATTTCACATGGCTTTCACATCAAATAAACTCCTTTGTAGTTGGGAGAAGGACAGATGTCAGCCACACCTAAAAGTAGAATCTTTGCTGTGGTTAAAAAAAAAGAAAAGTGAAGTTGATTATTATAGTTTACTAAGTAGGCACAAGCAAACCCATGTTTACCTTGCTCATTGAATAATCTGGTACTGGTTGCTATGAGTTGAACATTGATTCAATATTCACCTAACGGTACCAGTGTGTATGCTGGGCTTCCTGCTCCCTTTTGGCTACAAAAAGAATATATCACTTTTATTTATACTGCTGGAGTAAAAGTTGTTGTTGTTATGTGCTGTGGAGTCGGTTCTGACTCATAGCGACCCTGCACAGGGTTTCCAAGGCTGTAAAGCTTTACAAGAGCAGAAAGCCTCATCCTTTTCCCGTGGAACAGCTGGTAGGTTCGAACTGCCAACCTTGCAGTTTGCAGCCCAATTCTTAACCACTGTGCTACCAGAGCAAAAGTATTATGATAGAAACCAAAGGCAGCAGAAGAAAAGAAACAAAGTAAGAACAAAACTCATGAACCATCGTAGATTGTGGAAGGTCTTAGTTTCCCTTTCAGGTGTGGCCTAGAGGAGCTCTTCTTTTTCCACACAAGAGGTTTTTTTGAAAAAGACTCCAGGTGTGGCTCCGTAGGAATAGCACTGGACTTGGAATTACTAGGTTGGCAGTCCAAACCTACTAGCTGCTCCTCAGAAACCCTATACAGGGTCGCTGAGTCAGAACTGACAACGGCACTTCACAACAACAAATGCTAAACCAAAGCAGAACTATCTTTGTAAACCTGCAAGGGAGAGGAGTTTAATAAACCACTAGCTCAATACTATTTTCCTATCAAATCATTCAACTACTCCTAGCTGTATCCTGACCAGAAATGCCCCTTTGAAACTAGTGACAGAAGAGAGGATCAACTGCTCCCTATAGGAACCTAAGGAGAATTTATTCTGCATAATTTCTTATTTCAGCTGCCTCTTTAGCTTCATTACCCCAGGAAGACCAGATAATTGGTTCTCTCCTTATTACTAATTTCATATTAAACTAATGAGTATATTAAGACATTTTGTACCTGAGCTTTCTGGTCCCTCATGAAGATAAAGAAGGAGAGTGGGAGAGAGTGGAGAAGGGATTGGTTTAATCTGTGGGGTAACTGAACTTTAAGAGAAAAGCTAAAGATGAAAAGTTCATTCTGCTTTTTTGGCTTAATTTTTTTTTTTTTTTACAATACAGGGTCTCTGACAAAGTGTGAGCCATCTCTTTCCAAGAGTGAGTGGCAAAAGAAACTGACCCCAGAGCAATTCTATGTCACAAGAGAAAAAGGAACAGAACCGGTAAGCTCCGTTGTTTTCTGAATAGGTGTAGGTGAGGCGAGGGGAAGTTAGAATTAGGTATCTACACCAAGCCTGACGCATCCTCTCCTACTGTGCGCATCTGGTCTCAGGGAATTAATATCCTTCCAGTCGTGGAAAGCAGAAACCTCCCTGGACACATCCCTCTCTGCTCTCCATCACCTTGTCCTGTTGATCCTGCCTTCTAAATGCTCTTCCAGTCCTTCTTCTTTTCTCCATTCCTTCTGCCTACACAGGAGTCAGTTTACCATCATCTCTCATTTGTGTTATACTCACAAACAAGTATTCTTGCTCGTTACCAAACCCACTCTCCACATGTCCACCAATGACGTCTTTGGAAAGCACAAGTATGACATCACTTCCCTTCTAAAGCCATTCAGTTCCTCCCACTGCTTTTAAGATAAAGAGAAACCTATTAAAATGGCTAATAAGGCCCTATGGGGTCTGCTCCCTGCTCCTTCCTCCTGACCTTAAATGTAGCCAGGTTTCCTGATCTCAGCACTTCAGCACTTCACTATACATCCTTCAATTCTTAGATATTCTGGACTCCCTTCTTTCTTCAGGGCTTCCTTTCTCCTTTCCATCAGGCCCTTCCTTCCATTAACACATAGCTACCTCTTAGGCACCAGGAATTGATGGAATAAAAATTGAAATCCTTCAAGAAAGTGAGGTGGCACAAGATGCACTCACTCATCTCTGCCAAGAAATTTGGAAGACAACTATCTGGCCAACTGATTGGAAGAGATCAATATTTGTGCCCATTCCAAAGAGAGGTGACCCTACAGAATGCGGAAATCATTGGACAATCTCTTTGATATCGCAAGTGAGTAAAGTTTTATGCAAGGTAATACAGAAACAGCTACAATCATACATTGACAGAGAACTTCCAGAGGTTCAAGCTGGATTCAGAAGAGGCTGTGGAACAAGAGATATCATTGCTGATGTCCTATGGATCTTGGCTGAAAGCAGAGAATACCAGAAGGATGTTTACCTATGCTTTATTGACTACGCGAAGGCTTTT